TAATTATATAATTTTTGTTAATTCAATAAATAGAAAATATTCATATAAATCACAACTATANGAAGTGTTCTATTTAGCCTGAAGATGATCCAATGAATGGATCGAAAACGTTTGTTTTAATTAAAAATAATCTCTCAGCGAAAAATAAGGTGTTGGATTACATATTTAGAAAATATTCATTTATATTAAGGAAAATCTCTTAGCATAAAGTTTGATTCAAATTGGTTTTTTCCAGAGTAAAAATTTTCAAGTTTCAAAAAATTTAGCATTTTTGATGATATATCAACTTCAAGAATCAACTAGAACAAAATGTTTTTCAAACTGTGAGTCTGATTTTATGGTCTACCAATGAGTCACAAAATCAATATAGTAGTTTTGACAACCAAAAGAAACAGAATAGAAATCTTTCTGTATGAGTTATATACTGATTGTTGCAGAATGTAAATGTTAAATTTTGTATGCAATGGGATTTGTTGTATTTATCAAATTAGAAAAGTGCATTATTAGTTAACAAAAAGTAGACATAATTCTTTTACAGTTTTTTTAAAAGTGATGTAGTAAATATTACTGAAAGATACAGGGGAGTTATTAAACAATTTTAGAAATTAATAATAGTGCTTTTTAGAATCATTGCTTTATACATTGAGATGTGGCATCTGAAGAGATTTTACTAAATCTCAAAAATGTGTTAAAAATATAGTTAAAATTGTTAATTTTATTAAAGGAAACTACTGAATAGCTGAGTTTTTAAAATGTTTTCTTCAGTGATTAAAGTGGAACATACATCTTTATCATATCTAAGTTTGTTAGTTATCACAAGGGAAAATACTAAACAGGATGTATAAATTCAGGAATGAGATTCACATTTTTCTGGTTTAAAAGCAATATCATTTGTTCAACATTTAAGATGATATTTATGTAACCAAATTGGCATGTTTCGCTGATATTTTTGGTATTTTTAAATGAATTAAATACATGGTTGAGTCATATTAATATGACCACTCCTACTTTTGATGTAAGCAGTGCATAGCCAATGGAATAAGGCATGTATCACAAGCTGGATTGGTGTGTGAATAAGGTGATTTGTAGACAATGTGCATGTATATCAATTATTGCTATCAGGAGTAAAATGCATGATTTATCAGATTTGCAAAAGGGAATGATCATTGGCTTTTAGGACAATTGTAGCAGTATTTCTGAAACTGCGCAGTTTGTAAACTGTTTGTATGCTGCTGTGGTTAAAGTATATTGTGAACAAACAGTATGGAAACTGCAGAGCATCAAGTGCTATTAATATGAGAGGTGAAAATCAGCTTCAAAGGTATGTAAGGGCCAACTGACATGCTACAGTTGAGCAACTTACTACTTTTTGGACCACTTTAAAAATAATTTGGGCTACATTTCAAGAAATCTGCATTACTTTTTATAAAATCTACTTGGCAACCTGTGAAATTCTCATTGGACATGTGCTGTTTACCTTCACATTTATATTCTTCTTCTTCTTGTGTCGATTCTGGCCATCTTTGGACCACATACAAACAACTAATTATGACTTGTTTTTCCCACTTCCCTTCCCTTTGTTCTTCTTCCTTTCTTTCCAATACCTCTTCATTCTCTCGCTCTGCTGTTGTCTTTGTTCCTGAGTGAAGAGTCTTTCACATCTGTTATTTTCCTTTTCCTGAAAACCCTTGAAGTTCTTTATTTTGTTTCTAAACCATTCCCCGTTCTGGATATCTTATTCAGATATGCCCATTTCTGCCATGTCTTTTTGAGTGTCATTGATCCATTGATTCTTATTCTTTTGGTTGTTGAAATACGTAAAAATTTGTTTTGTTAGCCTATTTTCCTCCATTCTCTTTATATGTCCTAAGAAGCTTACTCACCGTCTCCGAATTGTATCCGAGAGTCTTGGGATTTTTTGATAAACTCTTTATTGCTCCTTAGCATATAGTTACCATGTTCATTTATTTTTGACCTCAGAATTTTTCGAAGGATCTTCCTCTCTTTTTTCTCTATATTTTCTATTTCCCCCATTTTAAGAGTAGCAATACCTTCTGCTGCATAAAGTGTTTGAGGTTTTATCACTGTGTTATAATGTCTAATTTTTGCATTGATGGAGATCGATTTCTTGTAAATGTCTTTGGAAAGTTGATAGGCAATTTCCAACTTCCATGTGCTGGCATAATTTGCTGCTTTAGACAACCCTTTTGTTTCAATAATTTCTCCAAGATATTTAAATTTTGATACTTTGTTAATTTCTCCAAAATCCGTTTTTAGTGATTTTGGGACACCTGAAATATTTGTTATGTACTCTGTTTTGGACATAGATATTTGTAAGCCTGCTTTCTTTGCAATTTTTCCTAGGAGGTTAATTTGAGTGATGGCTGAGTTCACATCCTTAGCCAAGGCCGCAAAATCATCTGCAAAAGCCAAGCCGTTGATTTTTACTCCTTTGTGTTTGGTTCCTAATTTAATTTGATTATTTATCCCAGTTTCTTGTAATGCTTTTTCCCATTCTCTAATGATCTTTTTTAGCACACAGTTAAAGAGTATGGGTGAGAGTCCATCTCCTTGCCGAACTCCAGTTTTGATTTTGAATGGCTCAGAAATTTCCCCAAGGAATTTTGCTTTAGGTTTAGTATTTGTAAGGGACTGTTTAATTAAATTTATCAGCTTATCATCTACACCAAATTCATTAAGTGTAGCGAACAAGGTTAGTCTATCAATGGAATCATATGCTTTTTTATAATCTACAAAAGTGACAACATAGTTGATTTTGTCATGGTATAATGCCTAATTATAGATTTTAGACTGAAGATTTGTTCCATGCATGACCTTCCTTTACGGAAACCTCCCTGATATTCCCCTATGTGAGCATCAACTTGCTTTTCTAGTCTGGTTCTTATTATATCTGATAGAATTTTGTACGTTGCGGGGAGAAGTGATATTCCTCGATAGTTATTTGTATCTGCTCTGTCTCCTTTCTTGTGTATTGAATGGATTAATGCAATTTCCACTCATTAGGTATCTCTCCTGTTTCCCAAATTTTTAGAATTACTTGTGCAGAATCAATGGTTTGGACTAGCAATCTTCCACATTTCAGCTACAATACCGTCTTCTCCAGACACTTTATGCTTTTTTAATTTCTGGATTGTTTTTTGTATCTCTTCTAAGTCAGGTAGTGAAGAGCTAACATTTTGGGTTTTCGGTCGTTGGAAACTTAGCCTTTCTTGGGGCTTCTCACAATTCAGAAGTTTTTGAAAATAATTCGCCAACAGTTTGCAGGTCTCGGAGTTGCTTAGCACTAGTTCCCCATTCTCCTTTTTAAAACATAGACTGGAAGATTGATATTTTTGTAATTCTTTTCTAATTCTTTCCTGTTGTACATCCTTTTGGCATTCCTTAGTATTTTAGCTGTAGACTTTCTAGTTTCTTTGAAGTTCTTATAGTTTTCCCGGGTCTTATTTGAGTACCATTTTCTCCAGGCATGGATTCTATTATCTAAAGCTTCATCACACTCTGTGTCTCACCATCTGTGTTTTTGGGATCTTTTTAGAGGAGCAATTTCCTCAGTGGCATTTGTGACATTTGTTGATATTTGTTCCCAATTTTCACTGTCAATGTCTCGGTCATTTGTCTGAATCTGGAAGACCCTTCCTGAAGTTTTGTTCTATCAATTGTCTTGATTTTTTGAGTTTTTCTCTGTATTTTTCTTCAGGGAATCATTTTGGTTTTTATTTTTGTCAAATAGTGATCTGTTTTAAAGTTAATTCCCTTTCTGACCTTGACATTTAAAATTTCTTTTTGATTCTGTTTGGATATTGCCACATGATCTATTTGAAATTCTCTAAGTTCTGGATTTGGGGATCTCCATGTTTTCTGTTTCCTTGGAAGTGTTTTGAAATTTGTTCACATTAGTTTGAGGTTGAAAGCCTTACAGAGCTCAATTAAGCTTAGGCCATTTTGGTTTGTTCTTTTGTGTGCAGGATACTTGCCTACAATATTCTGAACTGATTTTTCTTTCCCTATCTGTGCATTGAAGTCACCCACAAGAATTTTGACATTTTCATGAGGGATTTTGCTTATTTCATCCTCCAATTGTTCCCAGAATTGCTCTGCTTTAGTGGGATTTTTCCTGTTATCTTCATTGATTGGGACATGACAGATGATCAACGTGTATGACTTGTTTGCACATTTAAAAGTTAAAAGTGATAGTCTGCTCGATGGGGATTGAAATTTCGTAATCAAGTTTACTATTGTTCTATGTATGCAGAAATCCGTACCAAGATGGTGTGTGTTCCTCATTATTCTTTTACCGGGTTTCCCTTTGAAGTACCTGCAGTTCTCTGAATCGGTTATGTTGACATCTGTGAACCTTGTTTCTTGTATTGCTAGGAGCAGATGTTTTGTTTCAATGTTACAACTAAGATTGTAAGTCCTAGAAGATTGTAATCAGCCACTCCTGACATGGAGAACTGAAGCTGACCAGAGTACCACTGGATTTAAATTCATTTTGGAAAAGGACTCTTTCGCCATCACTGCCGTTGGGACTATTGTCCTCGTCTGTCACCGATGTCGTTGGTCCTCTTCGTCTGTAACCCTAGACAGGGGCCCTCACAGAGTGCTATCATCCGGAGCCAGATGAACCCAGGTTTTTTTACGAGGTGTTACTCCTCCCCCTCCTCCTTCTCCATCCCTTGTGCGATGGAGCTCCGGGCTTGGGACTGGCATTGGCAGAGTTCACATTTATATTATTATTATTACTTAATGAAAATAGCATTCTTTGTATGTATCGGTATTCCATTTGCTTAATTAGTTACATCAGTTATGTAGCATTTGGCATAGTGTACAGATATATTTGAAAGTCAATAATTCAAAGTTGCGATTATTTTGTCCCTTGAATTTCGAACTAACAAAGATTTCCTGAACTAGATTAGAGTTAAATGATTTTTTTAATATCCTAATACTTGATTATTATTGAATGGAATTTTGTTTTACAGAAATGCTTACAATTTTCAAAAGAAGAATTGATTTGGATTATTAAAGAGCAAGTTCTTTCCTCTTTACCAAAGGTAAGCTTAATATATTTTACCTATATTAAATATAAAATGATTTTGTATAAATGAAATGAAGCTCACTTAATTAAATTTCAATTTTTTTATATGTATTAAGCATTTATATGTAAACTGCTTAAATAGTTTGAAAATATATGTTTAAAAAATATAAAATTTAACAATTTGTAAAAAGATTTTTAAATGGTGAAATTTAAAAAACTGCAACATTTTAACAATTTAAAAAAATGTTCAGCGTGCTTGTTTGACTAGAATTTCTTCCTTCTTAGAAGGAAAAAGATTTTAAATTTTGTCTAAGTAAATGAAAATTTAAGTATTTATTTTTTAAAAGATTGCTGAATAATAATAAATTTAATTTAGTATTTATTCAAGGTAGTGCTCAGTATTCATATCAGTATTCGTGCATATTTAGTACTTATACAAGTAGTATTTAGTATTCATAACATTTAATTAATATTAGGATAGAGAGAAAAGTGTAAAATTTAGTTTGACAAATTTTCGTAGATTGGCTTAAATATTTGAAGTATGAATATTGTTGAGTTTCAAAAACAAGTTTGAAGAGTATTAGTTTTAGTATTAGTTTTTATTGCTTAAGAATGCAAGACTTGATAATAAATAAGTTTTTATTAAATATGTATTATTAATTTTCCTGAATATAATATATAATAAAGGGTGTAAAAAGCAGATGAATTGAAAATGCACTCTTCAAATTTTCACTTTATATTTAATGACTAGATGTTCTATCTTCATTAAATTATATTTATACTGAATTTTACCAGAATTTTTATTTAAAAACATTAAATAAAAATTCTGGTAAAATTAAAAAGATAAATTATATCAGTTTGCATCTTATGTTTTCTATTTAATATTGTTATGAATTCATATAATGTAAGGAATGAATAAATGCAGAGAAAAATTCTAGCATCAGTTTACTTATGGATAGATATAAAAATTTCATTAGTGAAAAGTGTTTATATGAATGGGAATTTAGAATTTCTTACTATGTAAATGATTAAAGTATGTTTAAAATTGTAATTGAATGTAAATTGTTATATAGAACTAAAACAGTAATATAGAGATAGAATCCAAATATCAGTGATAGAGATGTCATGCTACTATTAAATTGGGACTGCACATCACTCAGTTTATCTGTCTTCCATGGATATATACATATATGTCTGTTTATATGATAACTACATCAAAATCAATTATTATATTGAAAATCATTAGATTATGCTAATTATTCTAATTAGCTTAATCCAGGAACATATTTATTTACTCTTATTTGTTGATAAAATTAATTCTGAATGTTTTCAAATTAAACAAATAAATCAGATATATCTGAAAAATGTATGGAATAGTATTCAAACCTGAAATTTAAATACTATTTCTACCTTGCCTTAATTTGCAAGTATGTAGAGAGTTAGATACTGTAAGCATAAGTAAGTATCTTGTCTAAATTTGAAATGGAAATATAGACAGATATTAATTCCCATAATATTAATATTATGTTTCATGTAATGTGCTTCCTATATTATGTGAAATTTGTTGATGTTTTTCTGGATATATCAAAATAAAATAAAACTACTTCAAATTTACCAATAGTAGATAGAAGCATATTTAACTATAATTCATATTAATAAATCATTAATTAAATTAGTCCAACATATATCACAGTGGTTTTTAGTATTTTTATTAAAAATCTTAGCAATTGTTCAATAGACTAGTATGATTTTATTGTATATATAATTTGTATCTCATCTGTATTAAGAATAGATATGTTATTAAAACTTCCAAAACTCTAATTCAAACTTGACTATAAAGAAAATTATTTGGTTTAAAAGCTCTTGGGTTTTAAGTACAGTAGTACCTCGATATACGTCTGCTTTAGAATACGTCCAATTCAGAATATGTCCTGTTTGGACGAAACAAATTTTGCTCGGTATACGACTTAATTCAATTATAACCATCTATGAACAAGTAGCACTATCGGTGTACTAGACCAGACTAGACGTTCGTGGTGCCACGGTTTATAACTTTGTTAAATTTCTTCTGATTTTAATTTGTAAGTAAAATTTTATTATTTTTATTAATCATGAATTGCAAAAAGGCAAATGAAAAGCAACAGAAAACTAAAAAAAATGAGTAGAATCACATTGGAACTGATAAAAGAGATTGTTGAGAAATATGAAGGCGGCATTTGTGTTCGAGATTTAACTGTTGCATACCGTATTCCGAGAACGGCGATATCAACAATCATGAAAAGTAAAGACATTATTAAATCTGCTAACATTGCGAAAGAGGTTAAATCAATTTCTAAACAGAGATCGAAGACATTAGATCATGTTGAGAATTGCTTTTGCTTTGGATAACTGAAAAACAATGTGCTGGCCACAGCGTATCAGAAGCAATTATTTGCAAGAAAGCTAAAAAGATACATGCTGATCTCATGAAAAATCAAGCAGGAACTAACTAGGAAAGCGAGGTGTTTAAAGCCAGCCATTTTTTTTTTACATGAGAACGGATTAATCATTTTTACATTACTTCTTATGGGAAAGGTTGGTTTGGTATACGTTCTATTCATTATAAGTCCAAACACCAGGAACGGATTAAGGTTGTATACCGAGGTTCCACAGTATTTAAAAGTTCATTCCAATAAAGCATAGTTTTTTAGAGTATAAAATTGTATATGTTAATGAATATCAATTAGTACAAGGGCAAGCTGAAAATTTTTTGCTTCTATCTAAATAAAAAATGAAGGAAGTGAGATATTTAAATGAAACAAAAATGTAAATCTACCTTAAGCTTTTATTTACATTTTCCCAACATAATTAGTTTTACATACAATCTTCTCCATCTTCAATATACTTGTCAACATTTAACAAGTTTCTGAATGTAATCCTTAATAAAGTTTTTCTTTTACTCTACAAAACCAGTGGCATATGTCAGTCTTGACTTCATTTTAGAATTTTAGTTTCAGAGGTTTTCTTTTAATTTGGAAAACAAATAGAAATCACTTGGAGCAAGATCTGGGCAGTAAGCTGGATGTTGTAACACTGTAAATCCCAAGCAAGCAATTGTGTCCATTTTGGTAGTGTTTGTGAGAAGCCTGGCATTGAAACATAATGGCAGTTTTTCTCCTCATACTACTAATTCTTTTCTTGAGATTTTTCAGGATTTTGGTTCAACATTCTAAGTTCACAGTACAACCTATATCCAGGTTTGAGAGTGATCTGTTGCAAACACTGACCTTCCTGTTCTTAATTTGTCACTTACAAAGGGAGGTCATGACTATCATTACAGATTTCAATAATATTGTTTATGTGGATAAGCTGTGGTATGAACCTTTATTGAGAAAAAGGACAAAGTGTGCTTCCAAAATGTTTTCAAGAAAATAGAAGTTAAAACAACTTATTCTTATTAGAAGTTATTCTTAATGACTTGTAAGTTTTGCAGAACATATCATCAACTACCACATGATAACATCTTGATAAGTGAGCTTTTTTCAAATCAATACAGGTTTTACATAAAATAGTTGTATATTACATAGATTTATACAATTGCTATTTATTTATTTATTAAAAATGTATTTTCTTTCTCTGAAAATTTGTTTCTGGAATTACTGTGTTAAAAATAAAGTATTTTCCATTTAGTAATGTAAGAATATCATGAATACTTTGATACTTTAAGCAATTAAATAAATTCAAAAAATTATTATTAACTCCAATATCACATTAAATTGCTATATGTGATGGTAAATAATTATCTTTCAAGTCACCTCTCTCATTTCTTACTGTTTATATCCTCTTTTTATAGCTAATAAAACAAGCAGATAGTAAATGTAAATTAAACATCTAACTTAAGTTTAATAAACTCATAAACTATAAAGTAATTAATTATTCAAGTTTTAAAAACAAACTTTAAATTTATTTTTAACAACCAACAATTCCAGAAACAAATTTACAAAGAAAATAAATACATATTTTTAATAAATAAATAGCTATTGTATACATCCATGTAATTTACAACTATTTTATGTAAAAATTGCATTGATTTCAAAGGAAAAAAGCTCACTCATCAAGATGTGAATGTCTCACAAATATAAGTAAGGTACAATCTCCCCAAAAATATGATTAAAAATTGCAGTCCAGCATTGTAATGATGTCACAATAAATAATTGCTTTTCTTAACATTACATATCACTTTTTCTTTTTTAGTTTAAAAATTATTAAATTGATTAATTTTTGTTTTTATGTTTTATGATAACTGTGTTCTAAATTAAACAAATCAATTTGTGTTTCACATCATTGGTTGGATATTTATTGCAAGCTGAAAATGTCCACAGAATGGCCAAAAGCATTACTGAAGAAAGAAGAATTTGATTTTGATCAAACTGAGAAATTTTACACATTTTGATTAATACTTTTATTATGGAGTTATGTATGCATTTATTATCTGTCTAGAAAGAAATGAGAATGCAATAGGAAGTTAGAAACTTTAAAAACTGGAGAGAGTAAATTATTATGTAATTCTCTCTCTAATAACTTTGTGATTAGAGAGAGAGTTAATTTACCATGTAAAACAAAGTTATTAGAGGTTATGTATGCATATATATATTGATGTTAATATGTATAATTCTTAAAAAAAATGAAAAAACTGCATTTAATTATGAAGGATCAAATGTGTTTTTGTTGAAAATTTTAATGAAATTTGAATAATGGATGGTAGAAGATTTCAAACTTATCAGTACTCAAAATATCTTTCTATATGAAAAAAATAAATATTTTTTGCTTTTTTGCCTGTTTTATTAATTTTATATGTAATCTTATTTATATTTCATTATTTTCTAAAAGTTGTCTATAAGATTTGTTTTCCTTAAAAAATTTGATACAATTTATTATAATTAGGTAAGTTGATTTATGAACATTAATTAATAATATTATTTTGCATTTTTCATAATTAAAATTTTTTGTTTTATAAATCAAAATCATTTAATATTA